ATTCACCAAGAAGTCATTTCTGAGAGAAGAATTCATCGGAGAAGACACAGAACTTTCTGGAAGATGTAACTTGTCTGTGATTTTGAAAAACTAAATTCTACTTTTTAAAAAAAATTATTTTATACAAGTGGGACTTGTATTTATTGGAACAGCATACCATCAGAATCTTGTTTTATTTGGGAATAGTTCGTAGTTAGAAGGGTTTTATTTGGCTTGTTAATGTTTAGTTAGTTTGTTCACTGTTGGGAGCTTGACAAATAAATTGTTACTTGTTAATTGCAAAGTGTGTGTCAGAGGTTTATTTTTATTTAACCACTCCCTTATAATAGATTGGGCTCTTTCAACAGATTATCGCGTGAGGCGTGCCTCTCTGGGTGTTTCCGTTTTCATTATCAGAGGGGGCTCGACCTCAGCTTTATAATACGCTCCCTACAGCTCAAACCCTCCAACCCCAGCAACATCCTTGTAAATCTTTTCTGAACCCCTTCAATGTTCACAACATCTTTACTAAGTGTAGTGGATTATTGAATCTTATTGATTCCACAAACAAATCTGTGAAATTGAAAGAGACAACAACCTGAAATACAGTTTGTTCATAAATACCTCTCCTGTTTGCACCAAACCACAACAAGCTGAAGGGGTTTTTGGGAAGTAGTCATTGCAGCTTCATATCAGTCGATGTATTAGAACTCTGTGGTGTCAGTCAGTAATCCCAATTGTCAGTCTCTAACTTCAGCTCTTGCACACTTTACCCAAACATCTCAAATAGCACGCATCAAGTACCGAACAACTATGGTTTGGTTGCTGAAGTGGCGGCAAGTAGGTTGACTTCAGCTGCATTGAAAATACACTTGACACAACACTATTTCATTTCCATCTCATTAGGCAGCACAACTATTGATTATGTACAATTTCTCAAATTTGAGGTCCAACAGGTAACACTCTACCATCTGAGTCAGATGGTTATGAGTTGAAGTTCCATTCCAGGAGGGGAGCATACAAGTCAAGGATGATAATCTAGTCCAGTACCACACAAATGCTGTATTGTCACAGGGCTTTCCTCAGGATCAGGTGTTGAACTATTTTCCCATCATGTCTCTCAAATGAGCAAAATGAAACAAAAGGCAAAAATTGCTGAAAAAGTATTTTTTATTTTAAAAAATCCCTTGACAATATTCCAATTAAGAATAAGATATTATGCAATTCCCAACTGGTGAGTTCACAACAACTTTCAAGCAACTTTAACACAATAAAACAAGTCAAGGCATTTCAACGTGGCAATATAAAACAAATTAGGACAAAGAGCAACATCTGTTGACAAAGAGCTTGACAACTTGGCATTTCAACAAGTGTCGCAAGGTCTGAAAGGAGAGAAGTTAAGGGAAGAACTTAGGGCTCTGATATTTGAAGGGACAGCTACCTCTGACAGAATTAAATTTGGGAATGTTACAGAGAACAGAGTTGGATGCGCACAATGACCTCAAAGAGTTGTGGGGCTGGAGGAGTTTACAGAGATAGGGAGAAGCATGGTCATGAAGCAATTTGAAAACAAGGATGGGAATTTTCAAATCAAATGTAGCTTGGTCTGGTGTCCCATTGCTGGTCAAGGAGCACAGGAATGATGTGCAAACGGGACGGCGCAAGTTAGGACATGGGCAGCAAGTTAGCCTCAAGTTAAAATGGAATAATTTGGCAGGTCAGTCAGAATTTGGCTTAAAATAATTCGAACAGTCAAAGAACATGGGGGTAATAGCTGACAATGACACTTTAGTCCTCAGGTCAACATCACTGTGCTACCTTGAATGACTGTTAAAGGACAAGAGAAACTTGACTAGCAGTGGCTGAAGCTAGTCAAATTGTAGCATCTCCTTTACAGAAAATAGCCCATTCCTCTAGATACAACAGATCCAAAATGTTTTCTTTCAGATTTGATCCATCACAAGCATTCGACCGTCAAAAACACACACAGAATCGATCAAATACAACTTTTAAATAACTTCAAGTTTATTCAATATTGCCTCCAGGATCAGCATGGAAAATTTTTAAAAATCTAATGGACTAGGGATCAAAGCTGGGACTTTTCTCATCTGCCGGTTATACTCCATTCTGGATTGGGTATTCACTGTATTCAGCTAATAGTTAAAATAACATTGTGCATGCTAGAACTCAAATGAATTTCTCAGTATTATTTCCTTGTTGCAAATATTGTGCACTATGTGGTGGAAATAGACAGGACCATAGCAGCTTGAGCAGCAGAGTTTCTCCTGGTGTCCTGGCCAGTTTTATCCCTCAGCATAAAGAATTAGCTGGTGATGTACTCCATTTCTTTTTTATTGAGGCATCACTGTGCACAAATTGACTGCCAAATTTCCAAGGTGACTATACTTCAAGTGTAAATCACAGCTGTCAAGTGCTTTGGTCATGAAAGGCGCTATTCACATCCAACTTATTTCATTTCCTTAACCTTAAGGTTACTGAGTCAGTCACATTGGTCATTTTCTGTCCATGCATTGCAATAAAGCCTGCCTAACAATAATTTTCACATACAGATAAAATCATGAGGTAGATTACACTGCAGAATGCATGCCTAAGATCCACTTCAGGCAAGGTATCCTGCTACCCTAATGAGCATTTAAGTCCAATCCTATAAAATAGAGTTGCCTCTTAATATCTGGGCAATAAATGATCTCTATCAATGTTGATCAAATTGAGGAATAAATGAAAAGATGGCAAGGTAAAATATGTCTGTAGGTACAGTGGAATAACATGCTCTTCATCTGGTTGCTTCTGGACACTCAACATATTCAAGTACCAAACACACAGATAACCTCACACACAGACATACAACACACAGGACTTGTCTCACATAAGACAGTCAGTGCTTTCAGGCAGTTTGATACTGGGGTTAGCAAACCTATTGCAAGGTTAAAATATCTGCATTGGTTTTATATGAACGTGGGCAAAGGAAAGACCATTCACCCCAACAAAAAAAGAGTCTTTCAACCTGAAACATGACCCAATTCTCTCTCCACTGATGCTGCCAGACCTGCTGAGTTTCTCCAGCACTTGCTGGTTTTATTTCATATCTCCCCCATCCCATTCTATCATTCAATTAGATCAATGCTGGTCTGCATCTTGGCTGTAGTTGCTTCCTTAGGTTACATAACCCCAAAATTTCAATGCCTCAAACGCAAGTCAAATGTTGCCATTTTAAATTTTACTACATGTTTGAATTTGTGTACAAAACCTAACCTGCAAGGATTACTAATTTGGTAAATTTTACAATGGATGTTTTGTGCTCTAGCATGTGAATAATTATGTGTTGAGTCACTTACTAAAACTCTACTGACTAATGTCCAAAATCTACAAACAGTAATAAAGAAACCGAGTTACGTCAACTGTTTTGTTTTGTGTCTGAGTCTTGTGGTTTTTACAATGGAAATATTTACTCACTTAGACATAGCTTTTAAAGGTTAAATCCATGTAAATAAGATATTGAATTGCAAAAACCCTGTGGATATAATAAAGCATGGATTTAAGTTGGTGGGGGGGAGGGGGAGGGGGCAGATGATACTTTGCCCAGGCTAACGCTGCTAGATGAGGGTTTAACTCCATCAGAGCAGCTGGTTGAACGTAAATTAATTTAACAAAATCTGGAACTAAAGTTCATGTCAGAAATTGTGCCACAAAATCAACATAGTATTTTAGAACAGTCAATCTAGTTTTTGAATTTCCTTTGCAGAAGGAAACTTGCCATCTACATCTGGACTAGCCTGCATATGATTCCACACCCAGTCATCTGACTGACTCTCAACTGCCCTCTGAAATGGTCTAACAGTTTATTCAATTGAAGAACAATGAGGAATGGGTAACAGATGCTGGCCAGTGACACACAGATCTCATGGAAGAATAAAACAAAATCATTGTGGCCCTTATCGACCTTGAACACACATCCATTTTTGCATTAAGGTGTGTTTGAATTAATCTATCACGTGGCTAGATATAGAGTTATGAACTCTTCGTTATCAATTCTGTATGCATTTTCTTTTTCTGTAATGGGCAAAGGTCACTGCCTCAGGCCTTTCAGCCAATGTGCACCAAGGGGCTGGAAACTGTAAAATTTCACAGACTGGGGGCCTCACAAGATACATTGTGTATCAAGAGCATCAAAAACATACTGAAGCACCTCTAAGAAGCACTGACAAAAAAAACATTGCACTTTCTGCAATTTCTAGTTTGAATTTGTTTTCCCCGGGCCGTCTATCTGACAAGGAGTGTATTTTGTTCATGTTAGACTCGTGCAGTTGGACAGACTGGAACATGCTGTAAGCGCAGAAGTTGAATTTTCTTGCAAATTCTGTCATGCTCAGGTTGAAATGTTTTGTGATGTATTTTGACAAATTTTATGAATAAAGTATATGGGGGGGCAGAAAAGCTAGATTTTTCCACACGTAGAAAAATAAATCAGAGGTTGAACCTATTTTTAAAAAGCTGCATGTAATCTGCGACTTCTATACATATTACAAAGTGGGGGCCAACCGGAGATGTGCGATTGCAGTAGGAAAACGGTAAGTTAAAGGTTTGAATCAGAGTTATGAATCCCTGCCACATTACCAATGAGTAGTCCAGCCCGAGAAGGCTTTGGCCGGGTGGGGGGCGCAAATACCCTCAAACTTGACATGATCGGCTTCGGCAGGAGACCAGAAGCTTGGTCACATGCAATGCTTGTTGCGGGTCAGGCTTCATTCGAACTGAGTGCTGGACCCAGCCCTCAAGCCGAATGCGAGCAGCTTCTGTGGTCTGCACTCAGAAGAGTCCACATCCCGATTTCTGTTACCACGACAACCAGCTCAATTTAGCTGCTGAGGAGATCGGATAGACTCTTAACAGAGACAGACTGGGGGAGACATTTCCCAAAATAGAAGCGGAAAGATATATGTCTATACACACACACACACTCAGATATATATTAGGAAAAAAGGTAATAAATCATCACGCACCGTGCTGAATGGAAAAATCTTTCTTCAATGAGGAAGTAGGTTCTTCTCGGTTCGCCTCTTTTCAGTGAATCGCAGGCATCTTCGTCATTGTATCCATTTGAATAATGTATCAATTAAAAATAAATAATTCGACATTGTAGCAAACGGAATGACTTCACGCTATGAACTAAGATAGAGAAACGATCGCGCCACAAGCCGAAATCCCTGAAGAAATCATCTTTCCGCAGAAATTACAGCGCCCTGCTCCTGGCTCCTGAATGTGGGAAAGCGAGAGGACGGGGGGGGG